TAGCCAAAAAGCCATATGTGTTGACTGTGAAACAGAGTAGACTTTAATTATATGCATTTATGGTGCAATTGCTACATTTTCGTTTTCATATTTACTGCAAACAATGCTCTGTTACTTTTAATTCAGCGCTTGCAGCGCAGCAAACATAGACTCGGTGCGGAAACGATCTCGGCACTGCAGCAGACGCACCGCTCCTGAACGCACTGCCGGACGCAACCGTGTGCAGTGTGAACGCCATATTTAATCCGTTAACATGAGCGCGGAAAAAATACCCACCACATACGCACTGCAAATGGAGTAATGTGAACCTGGCATTATGTGTGTGCGCTGCGAGTGTGCATGAGCGCACGGTCTCCAGGAGAGCGCACGAGCGCTGAATGGTTAAACACTGGCAAGAATTAAAAAGTAATGCAATTTATAAACTTTAGTGACGATGTGACACTGCCTCGGTTGTGCAAGTGACAATTCCTGTGTCAACTGTGCAGCGTGTAGCTCGCACCCCTAGATACAACCTTCATTCATTCATGACGGAGACATACATGATTTAGTTTGGCCATTACCATTACTATGTACATCAGACTTGTGCAGTTATGCTTACGGCTATTTCGTTTATATACAAGTTTTCTATAGAATAAAAACACACTGGTAACACTTTACCTTAAAGTTCAATTTGTTAACATTATTCAATGTATTAGATATAATGAACTATACATTAAACTAAACACTAAAGTTAATTTATATATATATTGTTTATAATAATGTTTATTCATAATACATGAACTAATGTTCGTTTAATTTATTCAGCTTGTTAACATCATTAGTGTATGTAGAAATTAACATTAAATTAGATTAATAAATGCTGTAAAAATATTATTAATTGTCATTTTACATTTCATACTGCAGTACTTTTAATCTATAAAACCTTATTTAAAAGTGTTACCTACATATTACATTGGCTATATCACATCCTGTTTTAATTTATCAGGACTTTTGATAACCTTCACAAAAACTAATGTACACTGTAGCTTTCACGGGTAATATAACAGTCCCATAAACGTCCTATTTGTTATAGCAGTGGGTTGTAGTTCATCATTCAATTTCTTACGTTCTTTAATGTAGATATTTCTATGTCATTGAGCAAAGAGTATGAACTGATAGTTGTCAAAATTGAGGTGTACGGAGCCCCGCACAAGACATGCAAGAAAAAATAAATAAATTGTGCGCATGATTTACTAATTTGTTCCCTCAATATACTAAAACGTGCACACGATTACCATTTTGTTCCCTCGATTTGTTAATTTGTTCTCTCAATTTGCTAAATCGTGCGCACAATTTACTAATTCGTTCCCTCGATTTGCTAATTTGTGCGCATGATTTATAATTTGGTCCCCCGAATTTATAAATTGTGCGCACAATTTATAAATCGAGGGAACAAAATAGTAAATCATGCGCACAATTTAGCAATTCGAGGGAACGAATTAGTAAATCGAGGGAACTAATTAGTAAATCGAGGGAACAAAATAGTAATCGTGTGCACGTTTTAGTACATCGAGGGAACGAAATAGTAAATCGTGCGCACGATTTAGCCTACTATTTTTTTCCTGCATGCCATGTGCAGGGCTCTGTAGAGGTGCAATATTATGGACGAAGGTCAACTACACGCAATACTCGTGTCACTATCATTTACTTTTTAATTACTGCTTACAACTTTTTTTTATGGGCTATGTGTGTTTGTAATGTATAGGACAGTAAAGAGAAAAGGAAAGTAAAGGAAAAGAGATGTCCACATGGGCATCACAGCTGTACATATGAGACCTTTTTTTTTTTTCTTAATGTTTCCCTCATCAGAATCAAGTCAGTTAGTTAATAGATGAAGGCATGTGTGTTTAGTGAATCAGGTGTGTAAGTGTCTGCTGCTCCCTCCCTCTGAAGCAGAGAGACAGATGAGCGCTCCATTGAGATGGGCAGGCTGAGACATGTCTCTGTGCTGTTTGTGCTGCTGTGCTGGCACACTGTTCACTGAGCAGCTTCATATCTCACACACACACACACACACACCTGTCTCTGAGCGGCCCCGGCTCCAGTCACTTATGAGGAAACACAGACAGCTACACTGAGACACAATGGTTGTTGTCTGACAGGTTTTAAATGTATGGTTTAACAACAATTCAATACAAAAATGGCCAAAGTAATTGCACCTGGGCAAGGGATGGAAAAAAGTGTGTGTGTGTGTAATGTTCCTGTAGGACTTAAGTGTGTCTGTTTGTCCTGCATAGCAGCTGATGCTCTATCTGCTCACAGACATAAGAACTCCCTCTACGTTTGTCCTTAGGTTTTTTATTAGTACAATAGAGCAAAATAGACACGCCCACTTTTCTAGCCACCTGAGTTCCGGTTATATTTTTCCTATTAATTTTCTCCATAGACATTTCAGAAAATCCTTCAGTCAAGAATTCTAAGCCTTGAACCAAATGATGGATGAAAGTAACCTGGCATGAAAGTAACCACCTTTATATTTTGTTAGTTTGTTTGATTGGGTGAATCAGTGAGTTCAGCCCATAATTTGCTGCATTAATATGCGGTTGATTTTCTGTAGTTTGTTCCAGTAGATTTTGTGAACTGAATTAAAGTAGAAGAGAGCTCATGCTGATGGTTGAAGGTGTCATTGAGGGAAGATAACATTAGATATGTCATGGCCCAGTGGCATGAGAGGCAGGCAGCAGCTGCCCAAGTGTCAGAAACACCGCACACACCATCCCTGTATAAAACAAGATCCATTTATAGACACCCCTAGATACCAGGGCAATCCCTTTTCAGTTCTCGTTCTAAAACAGTTGAGAGAATGAGATGATGAAAAATATTAAAGGGGTCATGAACATGAACATTTTGTACTGTTCTCTGAGGTCCGCTTATAATGCTATCAAGATTTGTACATAAAAAACATAATAATTTAGAAGTAATATGCTATTTTCTGTCCTGTTTTTGACCCCCCTCATCAGAGCACTCTGTTTGAATAGGTGTGGCAGATTGTAGACTCGGAAGTAAACGCCCACTGCTATGATTGGCTAACATTGGTATGATTGCAGTTTTTCATAGATGGACAGGTTAAAAATGCATAAATACTCAGTTCATATCAAACAATCTGTAATAACAAAGCAATAGTGATCACGTAATAAAAACAGTTACTCACACTTGTGTGACTGCTATGATTAGCCAAGACTTGTGTATGTTTGACAGTCTGCGTCCTTCACAGATGGGCGCTGCTGTGATTTAGGTTACAAATGCATAAATACTCAATACATATCAAACAGAACAATCTGTTTAACAGACAACGCTATAGTGATCACGTAATAAAAACAGTTACTCACACTTGTGTGCGACATTACTGTCGGATCCAATATGTGTCTTTTAGTTTCGATCTTTCTGAAAATCCTGCGTCGAATTGTGCCTTGTTTGTAAACGAATCTGCGGTAAAATGAAGTGAGCAAAGGACCAAGTTCTCACTGATGCGGTCTGGATCCTAATTTAAATGAAAGTTCATCCATTCTTTTCTAATGTTATGATCAGAAGGAAGGTAATACAAAGACTGTGGCAACTTGGCACTGAACAGCATCTTGTTGTATTCGAAATTATCTTTATCATTTGGTTTCTGTGTAGACCTGCGTTTGCCTCTCTCGTTATTTACACTACAGACGTGAATCGGTGGGTGGGGCTAAACAGACAGCGATGTAGAAGCAGGTATTGATCTTCTTCTGTGGAGGCGGAGCTTATCCACACTATTACATCATAGAGTAGAACGTTCCACAAGCTGTCGTTTTGGCAGACTGCCTTCAATATAAATTGTTTTTAGACTAACAAGAAAGTTTTGAGTTCTGAAACTTACAGGATGTTTTAATAGTACAATGACCTTTTATATGTCAAAAGATCAAGGGAATTTTTTTTTTTTCCAGTTCATGACCCCTTTAAAACTGGGTGAGGCCATTGACTAGGGCTGTGCGATATTGAAGAAAAATGCGATATGCGATACCTTGTTAAAAGCTTTGCACATGTGCGGCAGAACCATAGACTGTATAAAAACGGCAGAACTGAAGAGACGCTGCGCGAGATGTGGCTTGTGTGCGCGCTTCAGGTGTGAGTCAGACAGCAAGACGAGACGGCAAAGAGTTGTTTTCTGCAACTTATTGCACTTAACTCTTTTTAACGTCAAGCAATACTCTGCTATATGTGTCGAACTAAAACTTTGACCTTTTGCAACATTTTGATTTAAGTAGCCTATTATTAAAATTATTCAGATATCGCACGCCCTTGCGATATGCATATTGCGATATTTGCATTTGCGATATTTCGATAATTTCGATATATCGTGCAGCCCTACCATTGACTTTGCTGATGTGTATTAGATTTGCCATTTTTTGGTGAAGCTGGATCGGTTAAATAAAGCCTATTACCGACTGACCCAAGTGTTTCCCCTCAGCTGGTTTATACTGGCTTCGTTGTTGGAAGTTTTGCTTAAAATATTCATTTGTATTTAAGTAAAATTTTCTCACCTCATTTTAGCTCAATTTATTTTAAAGGCTTTAAATGTTTTGTAGGTTTGACTTTACCACAATTTTAGTCACTAATATCCACCAGCTGAAAGCTGAAGTGTGTCTTTTTGCACCCCTGATAAAACCAATTGAGTTGCAAATAATCGTATGTGTCCTACTGCCTTTCATTGTACTCTTGCTATTGGTTGAGTCACAGGCTGACATGTTGGGATGCTCTTACTTAGAGTTTAAACTTGCTTACAGTGTTCAACTTACTTATAGATCCCCCCACCCCCCCCAAAAAAAAAAATCTGTCATCAGTTAATCACCCTCATGTCTTTCCAAACCCTTAAGAATTTTGTTCATCTTCAAAACATTTTAATGAAACCTGAATAATTTCCATTCCACCACTAAAAGTCCGTTCTGACAAAACTTTGATATTTCAAATATTTCATAAGGACACCGTAATAAAATCCAAATGAATTGAATGGTTTAATCCCAAGTTTTCTAAAGACTTTAGGCTTTTATTCACATATTGTCATTGATGCAAGAACAAATTTGTTGGTTTTTGCACATCAAATGTTTGCGCTTCCATTTATCGTATTAGATGCGCTCTATGTATGTGAATAAAATTAATACAATAAAATAATAAAAAGGTGAATAAAAGCCCAAATTAAATCTGTTCACCACATATAATGATCATCTTTGGAAGACTTGGATTAAACCACTTAAACTTTCAAAGGTGGGACAGAAATATGTCCGGTTTCATTAGAAATATCTTCATTATAAAAGTCTAATGGGTTTGAAGTAACATGAGGGTGAGTAATTGTCCGATTTTTCATTTTTGGGTGAACTATCCCTTTAAGCGCTTGGAGGTTTGAATGGGTGTCACCTGTTGGACTGGACCAGTGTCCAACAGTGCGTGTGATTTGTTGTTTGAGATGCTAAAAACACATTTCCCTTCATCCACCCCAAAGCTTCAACGTTACAAAGATATTACAAAGCTCCACCTCCTCAGTACTGGACGAGCTGGAGACGGCAGGCAGAGTCTGGAGTCTATCTGTCCCTGCCTACCTACCTCAGCCACAGGGGCGCTCAGCTCCGCCCAGGTAGCCCTGGTGCCGTCCCGTCCCGTCCCGTCCCACACCAGCTGGCATGCATGTCCTAATGCTCTAATAACCTCACAGAGTCATGCTTGTTTTCACACCCATACTCAAGATCTCCATGATCCTGCTCCAAATCACTGCAATTACTGAGAGCTAATGAATGGAGTTCAGTTCATCGCATTCAAAAGATATGATAATTATAGGTAACCATGATTGAGGATTAACAGAATAACCAGTAATGAAGATTAAATTCAGAATCAAGTCTGGATGATGTCTGAAAATGTACATTTATACTAACATTTCACCCTAGGTAATGAGTGGCAGTGTCCAATGTCTAACGTTGAGTTTTTGACATGGATCTGACCTTCACGTAAGGTTAAGAGTTTTGACATTTAGCCCAGAAACATACTTTATGCAAGTGCACAATCTCAGAAATGAATGCTTGGCCAACATCATGTTGCAAGTGCATACTTAACCTGCACTGTCGCAGTACTCAAGATAGGAGTTTTTTTCTTCATGTCTGTGTATTAACATGGTATTGAGAAACTAATTAGGGGCCATTTAAATGTCATGGTCATTTTAACTAACTTGCTCAGAAAGATTCTCTTCAAACTGTTGCTCTGCCATGACAGCAGTTGGCCTGATAGAGAAAAAAACTTCCACTGAAGTAGAATGTTTAAGGCCCGTTCGCACCAAAAACGATAACTAATGACAACTGTATACACCAGTAGACGTATATTATTTTCTGTTTACTATAAGCACACACTGCAGTTTTGTTGTTTACAGCTTTAAATGTTCTGGCTCTTTAAAGTCGGGTGGATTCTGATTGGCTGTCAATGTTTCTATCATCCATCTGGCGAAAAAAAAATAAAGTTGTTCTGAAAGTGATTCAGATGATATTATTGCTCTCTGCCGTTGTTATAGTTGTGATGTGGACTTCCCAATTATTAAAACTTTATAGTTATCATTGCATTTATCGTCCTCAGTGTGAACAGGTCCTACATTGTCTCTTGTGGGAGCATTCAAAATGTAACTCATTTCTAGCTTATGTTCACAAACTTGCATAGAGTGTGTATGTTTTAGACCTTAATGTATTGAAACTCTTCATCTTTAGAATATTATCTGTAGAATATGTTATCTTAGAATATTAAATCCCTCCCCGTCCTGTACTAATCCCCATTTGATTAATTCCATGGCATGCAAATCAGTGTTTAAGCATCCTAGCTTGGCACCTTCGTACAAACTAATTTGTTGTTGCCACATGTGCTATAACACTCGTTTCTATGTAAAGTTCATTTTGATTGTATTTTGTTTATTTCTACAGTGGATCCCTCCCAAGTCCCGATCCCAGTCAAGCGATCTCCTCCCATTCCCCCAAAGAGGATGACTCCTATGACCAAGCGCCACTCAGAAGACTCTTCGGCCAATCACCCTGAGCCTCCACCCCCAGGCCCCGCCTCCATTCCGGTCCCAGCCCCAGCTTCTGCCCCGCCCCCTGCCCAATCAGGTGGAGCCCCCCAGCCCCACCACAGAGCCGCCCTCGCAGCCGCCCTTACCTCTGCACATACGCATCCAGAGAGCCTTGAACAGTCCTGGCCCGGTCCAGCCCAACCCGGAAGGATCCCAGCGAGCTCATTCGCTTCTGTTTGAGTCACCACCGGACTTTCTGGCTGACGCCCCAGGAGGGGGGCGATACTCTCTTCCAGTCACTATCGAACCTCTGCGACTGTGAGTGTGCAAATCAGTTTATCTCAGAACTCAGTGTCCTCTGCTTTGTACATTTATAACAGATTGCTACTTTTTGCATCCCAAGAAGAAATGTTGCCTACTATTATGCCACTTATTATGTGAGCTGGGTAGATTACTTACAAATTGTAATCTGTTACTGATTCCAAATTACATGACAAAAAATTGTAGTTAGTAACGTAATCCATTACATTACACATTTTAGGTAATATAATCAGACTACATTTAGATTACTTTTAGATTACTTTTGAGCTTTCTCATTTATCACATTGATTTAAATAGGATTATCTTGTACCATATTGATCAAAATGTAAAGATTAAGAAAATATATTCCATTCTTTGTTATTAGCAACATGGAGTGTATTAAACATTATATTACATCAAGGTTTCCCAAACTGGGGTTTGTGAAAGAACTTTAATGAAGGTAGGGAGTTTAATGAAAAGCTAATAATTAATTCAATCCTAAAAATATTAAATTAAAATAAATATGTTTTAAATAAATCAAAATAAAACAAGTACTAAAAAAATGAAATATTTTATTGGTTTACCTGCATGTCATGTGACCATAACCAACATCAGAGAGCCACAAATATGCAAATGTGATACTTCATTATTAAAATATTTATTTTAAAGTCTCAGGAGTACTTCAAGTGAATATATTAGATGAAAGGGGATCAGATGACAAAAGTGTTTGTGAATTTATGGATTTTAATTTAATAATATTTAAGTTATTTTAATGTGTTTGAAAGACAAAAGCCTTCCAAAGATATAGAAATACATGGTTAAATAACCTACTGAGTGGTAGGTTCTTCTTAAACCTGAAATGATTTTTATAAATCCAGTGGTCAAATGCTGTCTTCTACGGAACTGGAAGACTTTCTGAGTATATATAAGCAGTAAGCTCTTTTAGAAAGGAAAATTTAAAAGATGAAAGGGAGAATTAGGGAGAATCAATAAATTATGAATAATTTATTGCTATTGTGTAAATAATATGTAATCATGTAATCCAACTGTAGTCTGATGACGAGTATTTTAACTGGTCCTCTTCGTTTAGGGGTCACACTTGGCTCCTTCGCGGTCAAAAGTGACCGAAGCCTTGAAATGTTTTTTTTTGTTGTTTTTTTCCAGGAAAATCAGTGTAATACTTTTTTGTTTAATAATATGTTTTGATTATTATTTAGAATTTTGAGGGGATTTTATGATACTATACAATATTTATACAATTTTAATGCGCTATTTTATCCATTAGAATTAATATATTTTTATTTATTTAATTATTTATTATGTTTCAATAAATGCAATATTTCATGTTAAAACATTTATTTAACATTGAAAACATTTAAAATCCATTTTTTGAAGTGAGAATTGTGCCATCTGGTGGCATATAAAAAATAAAAACTTGTGTAATGTCATGTAAACTCCTGTGTAGTTCCCTATATACATCTATACAGAGGCCTTTGGATTCCCATTGTTTTTTTTAGACATAATTTCTTCATTTTTATTAGGTTTTACTTTTAGATATATATTTAGACATTCTAAAAGACTACTTTTTGTCAAGGTTTAGATATTTTTGGTTAGATAAATATCAGGTTTTGCATTATGATTTCAATCAATCATTGAATATTCTCAAAATTTGCTCTGTTGCAGTCTTAACAGTTCATTTCTGTGTGTGTGTGTGTCTATTTTGCACTCTTGATATTTTAGAGAGTCAACCCTTGATTGCTGTGCACTTTTGTTCTGCACAGTGGCTGATTTGTAGTTTGTACCACCAAAAGATTCTCTGAGTTTTCGTATTTTTTCGTATTTCCCATTTGTGTGTGTGTGTGTGTGTGTGTGTGTGTGTGTGTGTGTGTGCGCGCGTGTCTGTTTTGTACTCTTGATATTTTAGAGAGTCACACCTTGATTGCTGTGCGCTTTTGTTCTGCACAGTGGCTGATATGTAGTTTGTACCACCAAAAGATTCTCTTGAGTTTTCGTATTTTCTCGTATTTCCCATTCATTTCCTATGTCTGTGTGTGTGTGACTTTTTATTTTATTTTTTACCCTTTAACATATCCGAATCATGTCCATGATTGTTTTTTTCTGGTGTGTGTTCACATAGCTAATGTGACAAAAGTCACCAAGTGTCATCTCATTCCGATGCGGCCACGATTTTTAAAATTTCGAAATATACATTTTTTCGGTCAAAAATGACCGAAGAGGCCCAGAGGGTTAAAATGTAGTCTAATCTAATTACAAATGCTTAATTTTTGGAATCTGATTACGTAATCTAGATAACAGTCAGATAATCAGTTACTACCCAGATCTGTGTGTACTATAATATATATATATATATACTGTATATATATGTATATGTATTAAACTTAAAGGAATAGTTCACATTCATATGTTCACTGTGGCTATATGATTGTGTATTGTTTAGGCCTGAGGATGATGATTTTGACATTGAAGAAGAGCTGCAGAAGCTGCGGCCCGCCCCTCGGCCCACACTCCAGCTGGAGCCGCGCAGCCGCCGCGGTCTGGTGGGAGACCCACGGGTCACTGTCATTCCGGAGGACGCGGGGCATGGGAACAGCGACGACGAGGAGAGCGATTCTGATGGACCCATCAATTACAGAGATGATGATGAAGAAGATGACGATGAGGAAGATGTTCCCACAAGTATGATCCTTTAATTCTGTCTGACCAGCCGTATGAGGGTTATTGAGGAATATTGTACCTGTCCTGCATTAATATGTACATAAAAAAATCTTTGTAACGGTCTCCACTTTAAAACATGGAACTGGTGAATATGGTGTTAAAACTCTAATTGCCTTTGTTAGAAATTACTATTCAAAATGTTGGGGTCAGTATACAATATATATATATTTTTTTTATTAATTCATTCTTTAATTTTATAAAAAAAAAATTGAAGAAGAAGAATGTAAATGCTTCAAATAAATGCTTTTCTTCTGAACTTTCTGTTCATCAAAATAATCCAGTAAAAATGTCATATTTTTTCAGAAAAATAGCAGCACAACTATTGTGAGATAATAATCAGAAATGTTTCTTGAGCAGTAAATCAGCATATCAGAATGATTTCTGAAGGATCGTGTGACACTGAAGACTGGAGTCATGATGCTGAAAATTCAGCTTTGATCACAGGAATAAATTATTTTAACATATATTCAAATAGAAAACATTTATTTGAAATTGTAATAATATTTCAGAGTTACTGTTTTTACTGCACGGTGTATAGGTCAAATAAATGCAGCTTTGGTGAGAATAAGAGACTTCTTTCAAAAAACATGAAAAAACCTTTCCAACCCCAAAATATTTGAATGATAGTGTGCTTTTAAGCAGTAGACTTTCTTTGTTGGCTTACAAGTAAATGCAATGGAGTAATAGTGTCATCTCCTTCAGAACGTAGTGATTTGCTCAAACTCTTTGCTAACAGATTTCTTTTATCAGTGCTTTAACCTTCTATGTGCTCAAATCATGAATGTTGCAACTTTGTTTGCACGTAGCATCAATACCAATTTGTGAAAACAGCTAATGAGGATTGTGAGTATATCTTGTCAGGTGGGCTTGCGAGCCGTGTGAAGCGTAAGGATACTCTGGCTCTAAAGCTGGAGCGTCAGCAGGAGAAAGAGCAGTCTCAGGACCAGGAGAGCATCACCTGGAACAACAAAGAGCAATGGGATGCTGTCCGCAACAAGATCGGCACCACCCTCACAAGGTCTGTGTGTGTGTGTTCACTGTGCGTTTATGGGCTCTTTGTACTGTCCACACTCTCACTGTGTGTATTTTGCATGTTCTCATAGGAGGCTGAGTCAGAGACCCACCGCACAAGAGCTTGAGCAGAGAAACATCCTACAAGGTCAGTCTTACATCCATTGTCTTCTAGTCCTCCGTAGCATTTGTTGTAGTCAGTCATAGCTGATGTAGTTCCCAATTTTGTGATGCTTCCAGAAAAGATTTTCTTAACATCTGCACGTTCTTTTGTTTCAGCCAAGGATGAAGCGGACCGACGGGCAGAAAGGAGTGAAATCAAGCGCAGACTGACCAGAAAGGTTTGGAGGCACACATCCATCATCTGACTGTTTGTTTCTCATGAAAACCTCTTAACGCGCTTAAATGTTTGGATTACTTTTGTAGACAAATACACTTCTGGTCACATGTTTGGAGTCAAGTTTTGTTTTTAAAAGAAATCTCCAGTGCTCACCAAGTCTGAATGCAAAATCAAAAATACAGTAAAATAAGTGCTATAGTGAAATACTATTACAATTTAAAATCACTTTTTAGATTTTAATATATTTTAAAATGTAATTTACTCCCTTGATGGCAAAGCTGCATTTGCTGCTTATCTGGTGCCTAAGAAACATTTCAACATTGATAATATATGAAAATAGTTGCGCCGCTTTATATTTTTGTGGAAATGGTAATGCTTTTTTTTTAGGATTCTTTGATGAATAGAAATTTCAAAAGAGCAGCGTTTATTTATCTTTTGTAAAATTATAAATATTTGTACTGTCATTTTTTAAAATAATTTTAATGTGTCCTTGCTAAAAAAAAAAAAGTTTCTTTAAAAAAATACTATTAATAATATTGTAAAATTAATAATATTATAGACGTTATTAATAATATTAATAAATATCATTATTTATTAAAAATAAATGAAAAATAATGATAGTGTATGATTTGTCCCTGTGTAAAGTTTTGTTAATTTCAGTTATTTCTCTTATGTCTTTTCCAGAATAAAAAAAAAAAATAGAGATTCAATTAGAGATTACGGATTCAAATTAAAAATGTAATATCATAAAATATAAATGCTTGTTGACTACTCACCTATTTGACTTCTTAACTGTCACTGAATAGTGGACAAATAAATGTGAACAAAAACCTACAAACATTTAAATTACATGATTTTTCTTTCTAATTGTGGCAAAAATATTTTGACTGTGGTGCGAGTAGGTACTAATCTAGCAGAGCGCGAAAGCAAATGTTGCTGTTGTGTTTCTGTGTGCAGTTGTCCCAGAGGCCTACGGTGGCTGAGCTGCAGGCCAGAAAGATCCTGCGCTTTCATGAGTATGTGGAGAGCACTCGCGCTCAAGACTACGACCGGCGCGCTGACAAACCCTGGACCAAACTCACACCTGCTGACAAGGTCCGACCCTATCACTGCTCTCTGCTGCCCCCTGCTGCTGACCGATATAGCAGCATTTAAATGGCGTCTTGTCAATTGTATAGTTACATAAAAAAATTAAAAAAAAACATTTGCACGTAATTGAAAACAGGCAAACCTCCTTGACAAACAAATCTTATTTGAAAAGTCACATAGACACTGAGAGACACTGTTTCTCAACCGTCTTGACTGTAAAGCATCAGAATTTTATGTTGATTTTGACCAAATGCCATCATCATTAAGGTGTACTGTAAGTGTTTTATACGACCAGTGTTTATGTTGTTCTTTCTTTGTACTCTTCCAGGCGGCCATAAGAAAAGAGCTGAATGAGTTTAAGAGCTCAGAAATGGAAGTTCACGAGGACAGCAGGGTATACACCAGGTGAGACACTTTTAACACTTCCTTAACTGGAATAAGTTAATACACACGCAAGAATAGTCTGATTTTAAAGGGAATTTGGTCAGATACTTAAGAAACACCTTAACCCAGCTACCAAAACCTGATTACCAGTCAATATACATATATCTGTATCTGCAGAGACATTCAAAAGTTTGGGGTCAGCAAGATTTTTTTGTTCTCATGCTCAACAAGCCTGCAAAAATACAGTAAAAACAGTGATATTGTGAAATATTGTTACAAATAACTGCTTTCTATGTGAATATATTGTAAAATGTAATTTATTCCTGTGATCAGCATCATTGCTACAGTCTTGAGTGTCACATGATCCTTCAGAAATCATTCTAATATGCTGATTTGCTGCTCAAGAAATATTTCAAATGAATAGAAAGTTTAAAAGAACAACATTTATGTAAATTCAACTCTTTTGTAACAATAAAATGTCTTTAGGCAAGGCAAGTTTATTTATATAGCACATTTCTTACACAATGGTAATTCAAAGTGCTTTACATACAAGGAAGTAAAATAATCATATAAATATTCACAACAATAAAAAAAAGGAATTTTAAAACTTTTCAAATGATTTTAAAATTGATTTAAAATGAATTAAAACAGTTAAGAACAGAAAATTATTATACATAACATACAGTGCAGTCAGTTTGGTACGTAGCACAGTGCTCATTCAGTAATGCACACCTAAACAAATGAGTTTTGAGTCTGGATTTAAAGGGGTGGTTCACTGTTTTTTAGCATGTCTAGCATGTGTTAATGCTTCATTTAAAAAAAAAAAAAGCATTATTTTTCACATAATGTACCTTTATTTCACACCGCTCTGTCCCTTCTCTGAGAAACTCGCTGATCATTTCCTGCTTTTATGAAGCCCCGCCCTCAGAAATAGGTGATTGGTTAGCTAGCCCAGTGTGTTGTGATTGGCTAAACTGCCTCTAGTGCGCGTCTAACGTCCCGCCCCTCACCTCAGCGGCATGTGCTCCAGTTGTATTGTAAACAACGGTGTCGTTAATATCGCTTATCAGTTTGAGCCCGATTGAGAAGCAGAGAATATTATTGAAGAGGATCGTGCAGAACCTGTGCAAGCACGGCTTTTAATTGTAGGCCTATGTTTTTTGTTTGTTGTTGTCTCATACTAGATATGCTGTTATTTGTAAATGCTACTGCTTCTGTTAGCTTTTAATATACGGTTTTATCCTGATTAAAGCTTTAATACAGTACGGCAACTGCACGCGCGTCCATGTTTAACGCTTCTCATAGCTATGTGAAAATAATCTATCTGTCTGTCTATACACATAAAGTGTATAATTGGAACAGTTCATTGTTGGAGCTGAGCTGAATGAATGAGAGAGAGAGAGAGATGCAGAGCGTGTGTAGAGCAGGGAACACGAGGAACAGGATTGAGAACCGCTACTTTAGAACATTGATTTTGAAACTTGTGAATCCATTAGAATCGTTAGAAGACAGAATCGCGATTCATATATGTCTCTCTAGTAGTATGTTATGATCAACATTGTCAAACGCAGCACTGAGATCTAGTAGTACCAGCACTGATATTTTGCCAGAATCAGAATTTAAGCAAATATCATTTATTGTCTTTATGAGCGCTGTCTCTGTGCTGTGATGCAGATGGAAACCAGATTGAAAATTGTCCAGGTATCCGTTTGAGTTTAAGTAGTAGTTCAGCTGATTAAAAACAATATTTTCTATAATCTTGCCTATAAAAAGACGATTTGATATTTAAGGTCACTTTTGATTAATTTAATTTGTCCTTGCTGAATAAAAGTATTAATTTCTTAAAAAAAAAAAAAATCTTAGTGAGCTCAAACGTTTGAATGGTTGTGTGTGTATACATGTATGTATGTATGTATGTATGTATCTTGAGTTGTTCAATAAAAGCCATTCATTAAAAGAAATGTTCCTTAAAAGCCAAGCGATAAATAGAGAAATGGAGAGGTGGTTGTAGAATAGTAATGAAAAGATTTGGGGTGGCCACCTTTTTTTTTTTTTTTTTTTCTTGAGTGAAGGCAGTAATTGGAATATAATGTGCATATGAACATGATCATTTTCTTTAACCATCACCTGGACTGTATTAACAAAAATGTCATGTCTTCTATCAATTCCTTTTGCAGGTTCCATCGGCCATAATCGGCGTCTCTAAAGAGGAAGCCCCAGACGGATAAAAGCTGCAGCTAAAAGCCTCCAACTCACTCCAGCATCCTGTTTCTCATGATCCTCCAGCTTATACTGACGAGTGCCGGGCCAGTCACTCAGTGCTCTGGAGTCAAGAGGAGGAGGAGGAAGTGATACTAGAGACACTTCTGGGGAGCGGGCTTGGAGGGCCAGCACGGTTCCCATGATTCCCACAGCGTGGTCTGGGGTGTTTTAATCGTCTTTATGGTACACACTTTTCTGTGATCAAGAATATGCTCGTGTACCCAACAATAATATTTTTATGGAAATTATGACACTGGAGATAAACTGTTTTAGTGTTGAGCGATTGTGAGCGACTGAGTGTGTGAGAGTGTGAGAGTGTGAGAGTGAGAGTGTGAGTGTGTGAGTGAGTGAGTGAGTGATGATATATGCTGTCCACTTATGCCTTAACACTGGTAAATGATTTTTTTAGACTGACCTTCAAGTAATAAAGAAGAAAGTCTGTTGACACAGATGTATGTAACACTGTTTCTCACGCTGAACACACACTGACTGGTGTGTGGATCTGAAAGCACATCTTTGACATTCTCAGGACGTCGGCACGCAGTCTCACTTTCTCTTTATGTGCATTTTACTGAAATTTACCATACTTTGACTTTTTCACACAGATAAAACACCTGCTTTAATATTTTCATCTTTTTTAACCACATAGCACTTCACTTTAGATATTTCAAGGTGAATCCCACAAGAACATGCCATATTTTACCCAAAAATCATAAGAATTCACTAGATTTTATTATTGGATATTACTAGATATTATTTTCATCATTTCAGCACATTTTCCCCCTAAATTATTCTTATTATAGTGTTGGATATTTTACTTTTGAGTTGTTGTTTTTTTGTGCTTTTTCTCATGTGCATTGTTGTCAATTGTAATTCTTGTTACTGTAATAGATTTTATATTTTATTACAGTAAAATACTATAATACATTTTTTTTTTCAGATTTAAAAGCAATATTAAAAAAATATATATATATTTTTTCCACATATTACCATAATGAGAATGCAATTTTTTTTTTTTTTTTTTCCTCCACAATGCCAAAAATTGTAATGATCCTAAAGCTTAATTTTCTTTAAGCAAAACTTTTTGTTTTGGCGCGAAATATGACCTTGACAGGTTTCATGAGATTCAGCTGTAAATGATGATATAGTCCACTGTACACTGAACAATTTAAAACAAAATGGTTGATGTTACATCATGGAGTCATTGTAAAAAATCTTGGTGTATTTTTGAATGGTACATAAAAATGAAAATCTTTTCCACATCACTGCTGGTTTTATGGTACACTTTGTTTTGTCTGCCACTAGACGGCCTGTGCACTGTATAGAGGCATGCTGTAGATCGTATTGTATATCTTGTCTTCCTGACATCATAAATTAGTTTTAATTGTAATTATAGTATTACACTATCCTGTTTTTATAAGGTGCAAACAGAATGACTACAGGTTAAGTGATACAAAACAGCTGTATAGTTGCTTTTTTATGTAAAGATATATTAAAAAGGTCTTTCAATTAATACATGTAGATTCACTTCACAATTAATTAAAACTAAACTGTGAGCATCCTTTGGTTCTATTTTTGGCTTTATTTTACGCAAGACATACTAGTTGTGGTACATATCAGTGTTCCTTTGATTCCTCATTTGATTTATTTTTACAACTATACTTAATGTGTTCACTTACACCAACAAATGTTTCAAAAATACCCTGTTTTAACATTTACCATGGTGTAATGCGATAGGGTTTTGGGATGTATTCCATTTGCATTATTTACCCGGGGCCTGTAGAGGGCACTATTGATTCACTCAGAATGACCAGTTGTCTGATGTTTCTTATACCTGCCTGATCAAGAATTTAAATGCATAAGATGTATTATATGTGTTTTTCTTTAACACTATTTAGCAATGGTCGTGCAATGGTGATCCTTGTTCTTATAGTGTCTTGTGTTTAAACCGTGAAGTACTTGTGTCTGTCTGCTGTGGTTTCAGAGTTAAATGTAGCTTTTTTTCATGAGCACTCAGAGGCTTTTGAAATGTTAATTAACAAGCTTGCAAGGGGGGAATGCCATTGTGTCTCCTTTATTGATATGTTTATGAACAGCCCACCCATCATGACATTTCGAAGTTTTCCTGTATCGTGAATTTTTAATGGCTTTCAGCCGCTCTCCAACCCTCTTCAACCCCGGCACTGCACTCTCTCTCATCCACATACTGTCTCCAATCGCCGTCTCGCTCTCACTTTATCTGTCTTTCGCAAAAATTTCTCACAGTTAAGTCCCGTTCACACCAAGAGTGATAACTACGATAATAAATTCTATGAGAATAGGGACGTCCACAGCAAAGCTAACGATAAAGACACAGACTAGTCTCAGTCGTCACGTCTTCTGCCATCCGTTTAAAGGTTTAGCTACGTGAGACAATATCGCTGGAATCATTTTCAGAACATTTAACACTGACAGCAGGGTTGCCAGTTTTTCACAAGAAAACCCACCCAATTGCTACTCAAACCTAACCCAATCGTGTTTTGAGGAGGGTCCCCCGGTAAAAATCGCATTCCATTTTTTGGTGGGGTTGCCCTGGTACAATTCACATTCCAGGGGCTAAATATCATGTTACTGGGGTCGCTTCAACCGTGGACATGAAAAACAGTCTGCGTTAAGAGTTAAAATAGCCCAATTCCGCAGGAAAACTACGGACTTGGCAACACTGACTGACAGCCAATCAGAATCCACCCGACTGTAAACAACACGTGGGCTGCATCCAAAATAACATACTTCCCTGGCTACTACATAGAAGGCAAAAAACAGAAGTATGTCCGAATTTGCTTTACTCATAAAAGAGTAGGCAAAACGTGCCGGATGACCCACTACTTCTGGCGAGATTCTGAAGTGCGCATATGATGGACCCTTTACTATCTATTCTAGATCTTTACTATCAGAACCATCAAGATACATTCATACTATAGACTTTATGTAGCTCCGCCCCTTTTATGGGCTGCTTTCATTGTCTTCTGTATTCCGTTGTATTTTCACAGCGAGAAGGTGGTAAGGTCGTACAAATTTATGAATGAACTACTTGTTTTAAAATCTTACCGGTCTACTGACATTTGTTATGAAATCTGCTTTGAACATTACAAATAAGTAAATTCACTTCACCAGCTAATTGCTCTTCAACAGCGAGGCTATAGAGCTACCGCAAAAATGGAAATTCAAAGACAATTGAGTTGAGAGTTTAGCTCCAACTAGTTTCAGCCACGGACCGCTGGCTAAATGTCTGATGCATATGGCACACAAAGTTGAAAACACTTCAGGAGTTTTACATTTACATTTAGACATTTAGCACTTTTATCCAAAGCGACTTACAAATGAGGACAATGGAAGCAATCAAAATCAACAAAATAGCAATGACATACAAGTGCTATAAAAAGTCTCAGCTTAATGCGTCTCGGTTGAATGTCCACTTCTTTTTGAAGTCGTCATTGGATTGGTTGAATTATATAGGATTTCTGGGAGATGTGTGTGTCGCGTTCTTTAATGTTCCGCCTGGAAACAAAGATGCTGCGATGCCAAACCCCCTCATGAAAGAAGAAATCCGTCGTGTTTACAACTGTGACGATGAGCACTTATCAGGATCAACTAAACGCTGGATTTGAAAATATTTGTATGTGAAAAATTTCACTTAAAATGAAAATTCTGGCGTCTTTTTTATATTTCACTTTATACATTGGTCCAAGTCTGTATGAAGGTGAACTATCCCTTTAAAACTGTCAAGAGAGTTTTGACAGGGCACTGAAACACTGAAAATACATTCAACACCATAAATGAATGTGAAAGTTTATACAGGTTAGTTAGCCTATGTCATCACCTTTAAGAGTCATCACATCCTTGGTCACTGATATCAAGAGCTTTACTATAATCATACAGAATTAGCTGAGAGCTAAGACTTACTTTAAGTAGACTCATTAAAGTGCTTCTGCTGCTCTCTTTTGCAGTGAAGTGTGAAGCCTGACATATCGTATAAGTGCAGTCTGATTAATTGCTGAAGTGAAATACAATGTCAGATTGCATAAGAGGAGTGAAAAGGGGCAAAGGAGAGAGCATAGAAAATATGAAGGAGAAAATGAAAAAAAAATGTGAAGATGAAAGGAAATGGAAAAGGTAAAGAAAGTTTGATTTCATATTCACATATCCTCGCATAACCTGACAAATGATGTAGAATCAGCATGTCTGTGGACTGATTTCGGCGATGGACGTGGGCGGCTTCTTTTAGGGTTCATTTCCAACTGTCTGGGAACCATCCATAAATATTACAAAAATCTAAACTTGATTTGACTCTATGCATAATGGAAAAGGTTTTTTTTTTCTCATTCAAAAAAGAATAGCAATTGGTCTACATAAATATTTATAACAGAAAAAAAGTCTAAAACCAATGAGCCGCTGGTAAAATGCAGATAAATGCACTGTAACTGCACATTCTACAGTATGTTAATGCATGCTGATACTTTGCCTTGCAACCATAACCAGCTTAAAGTTAAGGCTTGTTCACACCAAGAACAATAACTATATTGATAACTTTATCAGCGGCAACACCACCAACGTTTTGTTGTCTGCTGCCTTAAATGCTCAAGCTCTTTAAACTCGGGTGGATTCTGATTGGCTCTCAGTGTTGTCATTATAGTTGTTGTCTTAAGTTCCCTATTCTTATAGAATTAGAATCATTATTAAAAATGTATAGTTATAGCTAATATTATAGTTATCGTCCTTGGCGTGAATGGCTTTTTAGGCTGATGTATGTATCCTTGGTACCCTGAATAGGGAATGAGATGCTGCATCAGTAGCTGATACTATGGGAACACCCCATGGTGTGACGATTGTCTTAAGCCATATAGAGGGCCTGCAAATCTCCAATCCTTCTAAGAGACAACAATGTCAAAAGCAAGACCAACTTAAGAGTCAGAATCTCATCTGTGCCTGACTCCAAAGGCTTAAAAGAAGGACCTGTTAAAGCCTCCATATACCACGGACAATTTCCAAGAAGGAGCAAGTATCGAGTCAGGCCCGGATTGGCTAATCGGGAGCACCGGGAGAATTCCCGGTGGGAAGATCTGTTTTTTTTTGGCCTCAAGGGCCAGTGTTGTCATGCCACTGGGGTTGAAATATTGATGCTGTTCTTAGGCTGCTTGCACTCACAGCAGCCCCACTCTTTTTATTTATTATTTTACCAAAGCCCCACTCACAGGGTTGTCAGCCGATCTGTATAATACGGAATCGTCCCGTATTTAAGGCATCAAAGAAGCGTCCCGTATGAAAGCTATAAGGAACGCAGTTTGTTCTGTATTTGCAAGCGAAATTCTCTGCCGGCAGCTTTTGATTTTGATTTTGCCAAATCAGTTTGGGCAAATGCAAACAACTTATTGATCATGAGCCCAACATCCAGCAAGGCAGGAAAACATTCAGTATACCTGAGGGAAGACGTCTTTCACTATTGTAAGTTAATACTGTTAAATAGAGGAAAAAAATAGGCTACATTTAAAAAAAAATAATAATAACTTCTAGCGTATTGTTAAAATTGTACCTCATTATAGTATAGTACCTCATATAAGTACAAATCCAAGGACCAATTAAAGTTATTTAATTGAAAAAAATATGCATTTTTATTCATTCATAGGCTATATGGTTGCAATAAAATTTTAGTTAAAAGATGTAAGTGCCATTGTTTAAAAATGCTTTATTGACTGACGTTTCATAGAACTTCAGTTGTTATGCTTTCAAATTTCATGCCATTTGTATGTATGTAATGTCACAGT